TTTTCTCACTCTCTCTGTCCCTTTTCTCTCTCTCTTTCTCTTTTCTCTCTTTCACAGTCATTCTCTCCCTCTCTCTCTCTCTTTCTCTCTCTCTCTCTCTCACAGTCGTTCTCTCTCTCTCTCGTCATTCTCCCTCTCTCTCTCTCTCTCTCTCTCTCTCTCTCTCTCTCTCTCTGTCTCACATACACAAAGTCATTCCCTCTCTCTCTCTCTCTCTCTCTCACAGTCATTCTCTCTCTCACTGGGGACCCTAATTAAGCTTGGCTGGTCTTTGATGTTGTCGCCTAGGCAACAGTCACCATGACGAGGCTGGCTTTTCCAGAAAAAAAACACACACATTTTACGGCCGTATGACATGTACAGTGCCTGCATCCCCCCCAGAACCACCCCACACACACACACACACACATGTATGAACATGCAGGTGCACACATACAAACACACACAGGCACACGTACAGGACACGTCCCACAACATGTTGCATTTTTATTAGTGCAGATTGGGCAACCATGCATGAGTGAAACGATGAGAGGCAGCCCACCTACATGCCACTGAGACCTGTCGCGACGTGTGTGTGTGTGTGTGTGTGTGTGTGTGCTGATACACAGCCGATACACAAACACACTAGCAACACAAAGCAAATCAAAACAGTACTGTACGTCTCTATGGAAATCAGCCCCATCAGTCCTCTCAGGACTCCCCCGTAATCATTTGCATTTCTCTCGCTCTGTGTGTGTGTGTGTGTGTGTGAGTGTGTGTGTGTGTGCAGAAGGCGGAAGGGAAAAACCCTCTCCCTCTCCGCGCATCAGCTAAACAAACCACTTTAACGCTCGCAATTACCGTTAAATGTGGCTGCAGCGGCGACCGACACAATTAGCTTCCTGTTCCGTCGTTAAGCATGTGCGGAGACGGCCCCTGACCCCGAGATGCAGCCGCACGGAGACGGGCGAGAGAGCATTCGAAAGAAAGAGAGAGAGAGAGACTGTAATATAACTGTCTCAGCATATTACAATAAGAGAATTATGTTTGCATATTCGTCTGCTTGTTTGGCTCCTGGAGGAAGATGAAAAAGGCCCCGACAGCATGTTCTCATCAATCTGTTTTACTTCCACTGCCGCTGCTACCACCGAGAACGTGCTTTAGTGTTCCCCTTTCCTAATTTCATAAGCACCGTTTAATGAGTATTTTGATTAGTCCAATTGAATTATTAATTCCGAATCTTGAAGTCTCCATTAAAAGTGTAATGGATGATTTGGCTCCAAGGGTGTTTATGTAAGCGGGCGCCCCCCTTTTTTTCACGAGGCTTTGACGAGGTGCATTAAAATCCGAGGCGCGGACCCGGAGGGGCACGGACCGCCGAAAAAAGAAATAGGGGCTCGGTTTTCTCTCACAGGTCACGTCAGCAGAGAACTTTGTATTTCGTAGCCACGTTCAACACATAGAGGTACACATATAACGTTTATGTGGCTTATCACGCTTAAAAACAATGGTTCTTTAGTAAAGAAAAGGGTTCTGGATAGAACCATGAAGGCTCAAAGAACCCTTTGCATGATTAAAGGATTCTTTGCATCCCAGAAGGGTTCTTCAGATTTGAAAACAGTTCTATATAGCACCAAAAAGCGTTCTTCTATTGTTACGATGTTAAGCTTATAGTAGGTATAGTACCATTTTCAAAAAGCACATTCTCCATCAATGTGAAGAACCCTTTCATGATCCAAAGAACCCTTTAATCATGAAAAGGTTTCTTTGAGTGTTCATGGTTTTATTTAGAACCATTTTCTTTACTATAGAACCCCTGAAGAACCATCTTTTTTAAGTGTTGTTGCGATGTCAAGATTGACACAATACAAGAACCCTGGTGCTATGTAGAACTATGAAGATCCCCTGAAGAACCATCTTTTTTAAGTGTGTATTGATGTGATGACAAAATACAAGAACACTTTTTTGGTGCTATGTACCATGAACGATCAAAGAACCTTTTGCATAATTAAAGAATTCTTTGCATTACAACAAAAAGGGTTCTTCTACACTCTTATAAAAAGATGGTTCTTCAAGGGTGCTTTAGTAAAGAAAATGGTTATATATATAGGAACATGCAAGCTCGAAGAACCCTTTGCATGATTAAAGGGTTCTTTGCATTCCACCAAAAAGGGTTCTTCCACACTCTTAAAAAAGGAGGTTCTTCAAGGTTCTTTAGTAAAGAAAATGGTTTTATATAGAACCATGAACGCTCAAAGAACCCTTTACGTGATTAAGGGGTTCTTTGCATGCCAAAGCGTTCTTCAGACTGTTGGAGAATGTGTTGTGTATAGTTCTATATGTAACCTTTTTTGAAAACAGTTCTATATAGCACCAAAAAATGTTCTTCTATTGTTACAATGTCAAGCTTGTTCCAAAGAAGAGCCTGCTATGTAGGACCATTTTCAAAAAGGTTCTATATAGAACCATCTGCAGCACATTCTCCATCAATGTGAAGAACCTTTAGTTATCCAAAGGGTCCTTTGAGTGTTCATGGTTCTATATAGAACCATTTTCTTTACAGAAGAACCCCTGAACAACCATCTTTTTAAGTGTGTATTGTTGCGATGGTCAAGCTTGACTCAATACAAGAACCCTTTTTGGTGCTATGTACCATGAACGATCAAAGAACATTTTGCATGATTAAAGGATTCTTACCATCACACCAAAAAGGGTTCTTCTACCATCATAAAAAATGGATTTTCAAGGCTCTTTAGTAAAGAAAATGGTTCTATGAATGCTCAAAGAACCCTTTAAACGATTAAGTGGTTCTTTGCATCCCAAAAGGGTTCATCAGATTGTTGGCGAATGGTTCTATACAGCACTAAAAAGGGTCCTTCTATTGTTATGATGTCAAGCTTGTTACAATAGAAGAACCCTTTTTGGTGCTATATAGAACCCTTTTTAAAAAGGTTCTATCTACAAAGAACCCCTTAAATCATGCAAACGGTTTTCTGATTGTTCATGGTTCTATTTAGAACCATTTTCTTTACTAAAGAACCCTGAGGAATAATCTTTTTTAAGTGTGTATTGTGATGTCAAGCTTGACACAATACAAGAACCCTTTTTGAAAAAGGTTCTATATAGAATCTACAGCACATCTATCAATGTAAAGAACCCTATTACAATGCAAAGAACCCCTTGCCTTAAATCATGCAAAGGGTTCTATATAGAACCATTTTCTTTACTAAAGAACCCTTGAAGAACTATTATAAGCGTATACCAAAGAACCCATAGTTTATTTTTACATGTCCATTTTTTAATCTTACAGTTAAACAGGCTGTTTTTGTTACTGTGCCTGTAAGACTGATATATTTAAATGAACTCTGTTCTGATTGGCTGACCTGTAAAACACACAGTCCAGGCTGAAACGCACCTTATAACTTCACCATGAATGGGTGGAGCTTAATTGCTGTTGACTGAATAGGTGGATTTATGTGTTTAAGGGTTTTTGTGATGTTAATGAAAGAATGAATTCAAAACAGGCTGTTTTTGCAGCTTAGTTTGCATATTAGGAATGTGTGGGAGTGAATGATATTGGCCCATAAAAAACAATTACATAATTTCCATATAATAATAAAATGGGAGTTATGAGGCTTTATGGCACTGTGGTCGTCATTATTACTTGTAATTAAATAACAAAATAAAAGGTTAATTATAGTCACATAGTGAATGCACACTTTTGACTGAATTTGTTTTACTAGTTTTATTGCAAAATATCTAAACTATATATTAATACATGCTTTTGGAGCAGCATATGCATTTCAAGAAAGTCAAATACAGGGTGATGGCAAAGGAGTAGTAAGACATTAGCTACGTTCACATTACAAGCCTCATTGCTCAAATCAGATTTTTTGCCCAAATCCGATCTCTCTGACATGATGGTTCACACTCGTTTAGGTCAGTGATTCAAATCTGTCATTAATGTGAACGAACCGGCATCCTGAAATGACCCGCATGCAGACATCCTACTCAGTAACATCATGTGAATGAATCACGTGCATCATCAGCACAAACTAACGGTCAGAACGAGCTTCGCTGAGAAGATAATTAACTCTGATCAGCTCTCAGCTTCATTATTAGAGCGAGACGAAGGAGAAAAAGATGAGATGTGTTGCTTTTCCACCGTTTACAGGCTTTAACTTCTGTTCGGCGCTGCTGCCATGGTAACGCTGAATGGATTCTGATCTGATTGTTCACATTAAGGTCACATGGCCATGAATCAGATACGTATCCGAACTAGGACCACATATGAAAGTGTCTCAGGTCGGATTTGAAAAGATCAGATTTGCGTGTCCACACAGCCCTGAAAACATCAGATCTGAGTCACATTAGGGCAAAAAATCGAATTCATGCCACTTCAGCCTGGTACTGTGAACGTAGCCATAAGTCAGATGTTACTGCTGGACTGAGAATAGTCCACCAACCAAAAATATCCAGCTAACAGCGTCCTGTGAACTCTGATAAAGGACTAGAGGATGACCAACACAAACTGATGAGCTACTGTCTCTGACTTTACATCTACCATCAGGTGGACCATCAAAATAAGCATAGAGTGGACAGAAAGTGGGCACAATGTTTAAAAACTCCAGCAGCACTGCTGTGTCTGATCCACTCATACCGGCGCGACACACACCACCACATCAGTATCACTGCTGTGCGGGGAATGATCCACTACCCAAATAGTACCTGCTCTGTGGTGGTCCTGTTGGGGTCCGGACCATTGAAGAACAGGGTGAAAGGGGGCTAACAAAGTATGCGAGAAACAGACGGGCTACAGTCTGTAGCTGTATGTATGTTTCTGTCCAATGAACAGTTTCATATCAAAAAACTGAATAACTTTACAGGTTTATATCCCAACGATTGAATTCTGTGGAAATTTTGAAAAATTTGTGGAATTCCCCTTCAAAAAAATCAAATACTTCAGTTGTTGTGAACGTAACCTTGATGTCACCTAACCATCTTATTCTCCCTCCTCGCAGCTCTTCGTCATCGACAACGGGGCGGATGACTGGCGCATCGCCATGACGATGGAGCGGGTACTGTTGATCGCGCTGGAGCTGCTGGTGTCGGCCGTGCACCCGGTACCGGGCGACTTCAAGTTCGTGTGGCGCGCGCGCCTGGCCTTCACCTATATCCCCTCGCAGGCGGAGGCAGACCTGGACATGGTGCTCTCCGTGCCCATGTTCCTCCGACTCTACCTCATCGCTCGCGTCATGCTCCTCCACAGCAAGCTCTTCACTGATGCCTCCTCACGAAGCATAGGGGCCCTCAACAAGGTCAGGAGTCCGAGTGTGAAGCCCAGGGTTGGGGTCAGGGAATGTTCTCTTTTTGCATTATGATAACTGAAAAGTTATCACAATAAATGCTTCATATCGATAACTGCATTCAACATCAAATGACAACAGTCATGTTTGAAATGTAGACGATTCTATTTTATTCATCAGACAAAAGTAAAACAACATATTTAATTCATTTGAGCAAAAAATGCAGCACCTTTCAGTGGTAGGTTACGATTTTACTGCACAAACATCCTTCAAACAGTTGGGAAATGCATTTTACATAAAATTAACCTGAAAAACATACTGAAAAATGTCAAGGTTTCTGGTTACAGCCAGATATCAATCTGTCCTGTACCATTCAATTGACTTACTAAACAGACTGTTACAGTGCTTGATTTTTTTCTATTTTTACATATTTGTCAAAGTTGTTAATAAATTAAATATAAGGCTAAGACAAACTGAGTAAACATAATAATTTTTGAGTGATGATTTTATTTATAGAAGGAAAAAAGTTGTCCAACCAAAATTAAAGTCCCCAAAAGATTTTAACCTACAGATAAAATAAATACGTTGCTATAACTGCAGACATTATCGATATGAATATTTCATGATAGCATTGTATCTATATGTACACCAAAATATTTATACAACATAACCTGCTTAATTTCCTGATTATGAATTCTTAGAGGAGGTGGATATCCTAGGGTTTCAGTCGGGTGATTTGTGTGTTGTGGCCGCCATATTTGGGACCGAATTTCTGGCTTTGCTCCTCCGCACGAACGTAGCTAGAGGTGAAAGATGGCTAAAATTAATCACCTCACTTTGGAAAAGATAAACGTTACTTCGACAAAGTCATTAAAATAGGCTGCGATCATTATACAGTTTCCCCCCTGAACTCCTGATCCCACTTAAACTGACAGAAAAACTACCAAATTTGTCTTTTCCTGACATTTATATTTATCTCATACACAACCCCTCTACCTATTCTGGAGAGTCTCTCAAAGCATTTAAAAGCACAGAAGTCCACCAGATCTTCACGTCAGGGTGGGTAAAGGATCCCATGGTGTTGCATAAAGAGAAGAAAAACCCTTTTGTCATAGTAGGAGGCTAACAACATCAGCTAATTAACACAGACGTTTACAATGCTAGCCTTTAGATAACTTTCACTAATGTTAACAGATGAGAGATAAACAGTCGCCCCCTAACGGAGCTGCAGACAGCCGAGTATAACTTTACACTCTGTTTCTGGAGATTTAAATGACGTTTGAATGGAGAAACATAAACGTTAAATATAAGGCTGAATGTCGTGGGTCTGAAAACTACATTGTGTTTCGACAGACGTGATTTTGTAAGTTTGCTAGTGCAGTTAGTGCAGAGTTCCCAGCTCCGGTCCTGCATAATTGTGGTTTCCCTGTTAAAATACCTCATATTATTATCTAATTAATCCCTTTTTGGGCTGAACGAGGTGTGAACAGCAGAGTAAAACACTAAACTATGCAGTGCAGGGGCTCCAAGCAAACTGAATTAAAGGTCTGTGTAGTCTCTCGTCGTTCTCGGCTTCTGTCACATCTTGCAGGTCAATCATTCACAAAGCACAGCAAATTGAAGGCATCGCGTAGCGCGGTCACTCCCTGATTCGGTCCTCAAAATGGTGGCGACTATACAGTGTGCCTTAAGCCTATATGTGAAATAATTTAGATGTGTTAGAAAGTTAAACTGCTTTTGGTTGTGACTTCATGATAAATGACAAATCTCAGTCTTGAGGCAAAACAAGTCGAGAACTGCTGTCTTGAAAGACTCTGAGCTTCTATTTGGAGGAGCAGTAGTAGGAGACCGAGCGCTGGACTAGCCTTAAATTGTGTCTGGAGAACCGAGTTGTTGACGTTTTTGCCTTTTTTGGTCGTTTTCATGTTCTCTTTTTCTCAGAGTCTCTCTTGCCTGGCTGCTCCCACCTTCTCTCTTTATTACCATTTTCCTTTCTTCCCGCCGTTTCTTCTCTCCTCACACTTGCCTCATTTTTCACGGCTCTAGTCTTAACGCAGGAATGTAGCCTCTCCTGCATAATTCCCTCTGTCCCATTGATGTTGCACGTTTGTAGAGTGACAGCATTTCGCCCCAGCTAACTGGAAGAAACAGGTTTAATGGTGTCGGCTGCAGTGGATGCTGTGCAGTAATTATTTCCCCTCTTCATGACTTTAATGAGGAGGTATACAGTTTGAGCAAGGACTGTGGTGTGGGGAGAAAAGTTGTTCTGTTTTTGTTTTTCCAGAAAGTGATATGAAGGTCAACATTAGATAGAGGCTAATATAGCTAACAAGTAAAACGATACAGTGTTTTTATAGGTATCGGTACATCACAGAGCATCAGAAACCACAAGGCCAACTAATGTCTATAAACTTATCGCTGCTGTCGGACCAAAGCCTCATTTCTCCAAAATAGTAACTTTACAGGAGAAGGAAAAAACATACTTTACTTTTAATGTAAGAAGAATTTTGGGCTGTTTGTTTTGGTCCATTCCTCTTGAACTTTACACACAATATAAAGGACAGTAGGTATTTTCAAATTATGTCAAAAATTGAAAAATGACAAAAATGGAGATACAAGGTTTTGGTCCAATAGCAGCGCTATATAACTTGCTACACTGGCCTCGTAGCCCCGACGCAAAGCTTAAGAAGCGAACTTCGGTCTTTTTTGATCAAGATAAGAAGATGATTGTGCAAATTTGATGTTTTTTTCTCCCCAAATTATTCCTCTAAAGCCCTTTGAACATTTATATGCAAGCCAGTCGGTCGGTGTCAGGAGGGAGAGTTAATTGAGTTGAACCTTTTCTCGGTTCTTAGAAACACCACATGATTTATGGAGTGGAGGCTGATTTCACCAGCTATGACTGATTTTGTGATTGATGGCTGCGAGTGGTTTCAGTAGGTTCGTTTCTGTCAGACTCCTTGTTGAGACGAGTGATTGATGTTTTCCATCATTACACATGCTTGCGTGAAGTCTTTAAGAAATGTTGATAAACGACCAGTTTCGTCCAGTGCTGTGATGGAGTTTGAAGCGTGTCCTTAGTGGACTTCAGATGCCCTGCAGTTAGCATGTTGTAGTTTCTGTCAGGAGATGCTTTCTGGCTGCAAAGTCTCGAATAGACTCTAAGCCCAGAGGCCTTAACCCGAGATACAACACTTGTTGCATGTTCAACCTAAAAGAATAATTCTGGATTTATCCAAAGTTCAGTTGTTGAGATGTAAACAGAGTTATTCAGATTTTGTTTTGATGCAAAATGGTTCATTGAAGAGAAACTCTGATTTTTTGCACAGTGGTAGTGATAGAAAGCAGAGGTTGCAAAGTTTACAATGCAAATATAGCCACTTTATTTTTAATCCAAAATTATTAGTGAACCTACATGAGTCTTCTGGGTTTGTAAATGTAATGTTGATAATGGTAAAATAGTGGTGAATCTGAAAAAAAAATTGTTTTATTTTAAAAAATGTTCTATTTTGCTGTATCGCATGTACCTCTTTGCAATTAATGTATTAAAAAAAAGCCTATAGTCAAACCTATATTTCAAAATGATTGTAAAACAATGTCTGAATCATCAGGCAACTTATTTGTAGCCATTTTATCTAACAACTTCCTATAGAGGCATTAAACTCTTCAGATTTCTGAAAAATCACAACTGAAAAACCTTCATATTTCTGCATGTTCTTAATGGTGGAATTGTGCAAATATTCTGACAAATCAGTTAAATTCCTTGTTAAAGGATTAATGTAGTGTGGTTAAGTTTAGATGGTGTTCTGCTGATGAGATCTCATGGGGGCCAGATGTGACCTGGTAACGAGAACGTCTGGGGACAACCATGAGAAATTCTAGGCTAAATGTGGGCGGGAACGTAGACTTAATGGGATGGGAACAAACTGAGTGTGAAATTTCTAAATCAATTCAGTGCCTCTTGAAGGTGGAAAGTAGGGGGCGTTCGATGGACAACGTGTCTGTCATTAGCACATGTATGGAATGTAGGTTAGCATGGCAGAAATTATGTATGCAGCATGTAGATGTTGCATGTGCGGACAACTCATGAAAACAAGCAGTAAAAAGAAATGTTACCTTTTCTAAGGGGAAAACAGTTCCGTTAGCTAACGGTAACGCTTCGCTAGCTAGGTTGTTTTGTTTGTGTTATCGATTGAACTCCGTACATTAAAAAGCACGGATTAGAGGATTCTGATTAGAGGATTCTGTACCTTTGTTAGCGATGGATGTGGTTGCAGTGTAGCACCAAACCTTTAACAAGTTGTCCCCAGGCATGTGTTCTCGTTGCAGAATCACCTCTTGCCCCACGAGAGGCTAATTTGGTGGTTTTGTCCTCGGTTGCACTTTAAAGAACATATGGCTGAGTGATTGTTGAGAAATTTTCTTAGCAGGTGAAAAAAGGCAGAAAAGTAGGCTGTGATGGGGGAACTGATGGATGTGTACGTTTGTGTTTTTCTCACTAGGTGCACTTTAACACACGGTTCGTGATGAAGACCCTGATGACTATCTGCCCGGGCACGGTGCTGCTGGTCTTCAGTATCTCCCTATGGATCATCGCGGCCTGGACCGTACGAGTGTGCGAGAGGTGAGAGAGAAAAAGAGTGAGGAATGTGGAGAGAGAAAGCTTTTAGTGCTGCCTACCACATTACATTCCACAGCAAGCCGCGAATACATTCCAACTTGCCGTCAGCCAGCCAATCCAGCCAATCCCGTGTCGCTTCTTCCCTACATTTCCCATGTTGCCGTTTAAAAAGGTCGCAGGCTGAATCAGGCCCCCAGGCCATAGTGTGGGCGTCCCTGCCTCTGCCAGGGGTGTTGCCGTGGCAACGGAGTGCATGGTACACTGTAGGTGCATTAATTAGAATCCAGAGGAATCCCCAGGTCGAAGCAGCGAGTTGCAATGGGCGCTAGTTGACGCAACGTGCCATATACATACATATTCACAGCATATGGCTAGCATGACACGTTCGCATGGCCACGTCCACTTTGAGAGACACCTCGGTCAGACGTGTCTGCAGGGAGGTGTTCTAATTTCACCAGCCACGCTCTCGATCCCTCTCTTGATCCACCACGTCCTGGAGGTGCTGCTGCCCGGGGGGGGAGCTTCAACGTACTGCTCAGACTCAGGCTGGAACGCACAGGAAGAGAGGATCAGAGCCCCTTCGCTTTCTGACAGCTCCTTCTTTTGCTCTGGGACTGAAGATGAAAGAACAGTGTGCGCTGTCTCCATGAAAACAAATCAGGGAAAGTAAGCCATGTGAGAATTGGAAAATAGGAAATTAAACAGTGTGGATATGCACTTCCCCATTCTGGCTTTCTACATAAAGGTTTGCATCAGCAGGGAATTAAGAGTAAAAGCACTCAGGAGACCCCCCCCTTTCTCTTGAGAGCAGGGGTGTTCCAGTATGTGAACTGTCCTCAGACTCCCTTTTCTGTCATTTTAAACAGTGATTTTCTTTTTACATATTTTATAGCCCTATTTTATTCTATTCCTGTTGAAAGCCTCTCCTCATCTGGCATAACAATTTGAATTGCTTACAACTAGGGAGAGAATGAAGGCTGATTTGGGTGTAGCTTGCCATGAAATGTTAAACATAATTATATACCATGTCCATGCAAATTGGACACAGACGAAGAAGAGAATTATTTTTTCCTCTTCTCTCATGCCCAAGGATGTACAGTGCAACAGTTAAGCTCACATTTGTGATTAATAGATACTCACTGAATGTTGAATCAGTTTGTATAGTGTAGTGGGTAACACCTTCGCCTTCTATGCTCTAGACTGGGGTTCAATCCCTAACTTAGGCCAGCACCAGACACTACACCAGTAAGAGTCCTTGGGCAAGACTCCTAAATACCTTCACCTACCTTGTAAATTGATGAAATTGTAAGTCGTTCTGAATAAGGGCGTCTGAGAAATGGCATAAATGTAAATGTAAATAAGAAAAACAGACACTGCCTACCTGTTGGAGCAATAACAGACAAAATAGCATCTAAATTTTTTAATATAATGTCAACCACTGGGCCTCCAGGCAGCAGTAATGTGACTGTAAGCTCTGCTGAGCCCCATTATTTTATTATTACGAATATTGTAATGGATATTATTATGTTTTTCTTGAATTAGTGCTTAATTTTTTCCATTAAAATGTGAAAATTGCACAAAATAGACCAATTTTAGCAGTTTTAATATGTCTTATACAAAAGTTAACAAACTTTTACTTGGGGCTGCCAACCCAGAAAAAAAGCATTGTGTAATTGGAAAGAGGCTAGCGAATAAGGCTGTGTAGCTGTCCAGTTACTTTAGCAATTGGGGACAAAGCAGACCTTGACAACAGCACAAAATAAGCTCGTTGTGTGCATCCTGGCCCTCCTTCCAAGATTTCCCTTGACTATTGTGAATAGTGAAACGTTTTAAAGTTTTCTCTTCTGTGTGCTGCTAAAGTTTCCTTGATGCTACTTAATTTGTCTTCTTGCACAAGTGCAACCACCTACACAAATAAGCATACAGCTCACATACCCCAGCTGTCTTTCTTCAACCATTGCCATTACTGCAACACAGTTTAGCTCAAGGACATCATAGCCTACCAGCCAAAACAGCAGCATGCAGACAAAACATAGTACAAAAACAAAACTGTTATTATCAGTCATGGAAAGCAAACTCAGCTTTCCCAGGCACAGGAGAAGGGTAAGGTACCTTGCAGGACAAAGCAGGCATGTAAAGCTGGGGGGGTGATACCCCTCTGTGCCCTCCCAACATGGGGCTGGGCCTAGACCTTTGCTGTGTTACTGCACCACAGGAACTTCTCACTGCACTCGTTCCGGATGAACCAGATTTCCAAATGTGAGCTAGCAAGCCTGTAGCGCTGTAAACCTCTTTCTCTCTCTCTCACAGGTACCATGATGCTCAGGACGTGACCAGCAACTTCCTGGGAGCCATGTGGCTCATCTCCATTACCTTCCTCTCCATTGGCTACGGAGACATGGTGCCTCACACCTACTGCGGCAAAGGAGTGTGTCTGCTGACCGGCATTATGGTAAATCAATATAGACCTTGTTAATTCATGTCCCTGGTTATATTAAGCTCGAGCCATCATATCATATCATTTAAAAGACACAATTGTGATAACTTTTGCCACGCATCTAAAATGCCTTTTGATTTTTGATCACATCACTGTGCACCAGTAATATTAAGTTTCATGTCCCCCTTCTACCCTTCCCCGCCTATCTTCAAGAGATAATGCTCAGCTAGCTCAAAGACCCTGCCTGATACCATGTTTCACTTAGAAATATGGAAATTATTTTTAATTTGGTTTTGATAAAATGTCTGTTCACATTTACTTAACACAATGTCATATAAAGGTTATATGTGGCTGCTTTGTGCATATTTTGTTATTTTAATCATGATGTTCAAGTTTGGCAGTTCTGCCTGTATTGCCATTCCAATCGTGTATTGGAATATCAATGGCAAACCCTGACTTCAAGCTAGGCCTCCAGTTTAGGACAAAAATGTAAAAAATGTCAAAACTCTACAAAAGTGCTAATAGTATGTTAACACTAAGCTATATATACATGTTCACTTTTTGGACATTTTAGATTAAACACCAACATCAACATACGTGAAATTGGCCTCACACACATTTTATTTTTTTTCATAGCAGAGCTACATGTCAGTGGGAAACCATGACTTCAAGCTAGGCCTCCAGTTTGGGACATAAATGTCAAAACTTGACCCAAAAAAACTGTACAGTGGTGCTAAATTCTGGTAGCACATCTATGGGTTTTCAGTACTATGTTACACTGTGCTATATATACGTGTTCCTTTTTTGGACATTTTAGATTAAACACTGACATCAACCTACTTGAAATTGGCACACATTTTCATTTTTTTTTTGTTTTTTCATAGCAGAGCTGAATGTCAGTGGCAAACCCTGACTTCAAGGTAGGCCTCCAATTTGGGACATAGATGTCAAAACTCTACAATAGTGCTAATTTCTGGTAGAGCTCCTATGGGCTTTTCAATAGTATGTTAATGCCTGTTGCCTATTACATTGTCTGTAAATTTCATGAAGAATGGACCAAAATAACTTGGGAAAATGTCTGGTTAAATTGACTTGCATTAAAAGTAAAGTGTGTTTTTTCCTTTTCCTATAAAGTTACCATTTTGGAGATACAAGGTTTTCTTCCGACAACAGCGATATACGTGATCCTTTTTTGGACATTTTAGATGTTGGTAGTTAATCTAACATGTGAGGCCTTCAGTTCAGCTCCTGAAGTCCTAACCAATGGGACAGCTAGCTATGTCTGTCTAGATACCATGGAGGAAAATCCTGACTGGGTGATTTTCCATTTCAAGATTTTAACCCTTTTCCAAAAAATGTAACAATGAAATATTACTACTAAACATTGCTCTAATACTTGCTGAGTTAAATACAACAAGCATGATGATTCTACTGGATTAAGAATGAGCTAAAATTGCAAACATTACAGTATTTTTAAGTGTCAGAAATCATTAGGCCTAGAAGGTTGTGAAGGTTCTGCACTGTGGCTGGCTTATATGGTACATATTGGAAATTGAACACTTAGTACGCTGTAGCCATTTTCAGTTTCATATTGCAGTGGTTTGGACTGAATGGATCTGTTAATGTGAGCCCTGTGCTGCTCTCTTTTTTTGGCTTTCTCTGTCTCTCCGTCTGTCTCTCGCTCTCTTATTGCCTCTCTCTGCCTGAGGGTCAGGTGGTGTGCTGCAGAGGAGCCTGTTTTTGTCCTTGTTGGGATTGTGTGCATACATGTGTGTGTCTTGTAGATCAGTGTTTATCTGGCTACGTTTGCTCTCTGAACATTGCGTGGTGTTGTGTGCATCTGTCACATAGATGGCTGTTTTAACTCCATTCATTTTTTTTCTCTCTGTTGCTCCGCCAGATAGTTCATTGCCTTTTTCTGTATCTGGCATCCTCTTTTTGCAGCCTCTGTCTCTTTCACACAACTCAACTCAGATACACACATGCTCCTCTTTGCTGTGTGCAGGCAGGAAGAGTAGAGATAAAGAAGGTGATGATGACAAAGCATGCGTTGATCTGAAAGTGGTGATTCATACATACTGATGCATTGATTTCAGCATGCTAGAATTGATTAGAATTGATTCGAATTTTAATAATATTCAGGAGTATGCGACCACAAAAAATTCTCTAAAATCCCAAAAATGCTTAGTGTATCGTTCTTATTGTCTATAGTTCACTCCTGTGTAAATGCATTTGTATTGGTGTAGCCTATTTTTTAAAGATCCCATTTTCTACATTTCTATTGTGGGTTTACTTATGACATTTGTGTGGGTTAATGTACCAAAAACACTTTCATTTCATTTTTACATGACCATTTTTTAGCCTCTCTTGATTCATCAGGCTCTTTTTTTTTACTGTGCCTTTAAGACTGATATATGTAAATGGCCACTGTTCTGGTTGGCTGCTCTGTATTGTGCCTCATTCAGAAAGCAGTCCAGGTTCAAACACTCCGTATAACATCTAAATGAGTGGAAATATGGAAATATGTGACATCACAAAAACAATACGTTTAATGCATTTAATGTTTACATTCTACATCAAGCTCTATTTAAATAAACATTTGTTTTCCATGATATGGACCCTTTAAAAATAATTTTGAGACATGCAAAAGTAATCAAGTAGAAATTTCTTGATGCATTGAATGGTTTTCTTAAAACTTACAACTGAATTAGAGGCGCAACTAACGATTAATCGAACATTCTGGCGATTATGTTCCTGTTTCAGTGAGAAATAAATTTAAATAATGGTACAAAAAACTTGAAAATTCATTATCCCAAATATTAAACTGCTTTTGATACTACTTAATTACTGTTACATTTATTTCTTGTAAGTAATTATGAGTTAAAAAAGAAAGTATTTATATATTTAGCACCAAAACAGTTAAACAAAGTAAAATATATTTATATCACTGATTCATTTATCATTTACTGGCTATTATTATGGGTGGCACGGTGGCGCAGTGGGTAGCGCTGTCGCCTCACAGCAAGAAGTGCCTGGGTTCGATTCCTGGCTGGGTGACCAGGGTCATTTCTGTGTGGAGTTTGCCTGTTCTCCCCGTGTCTGCGTGGGTTTCCTCTGGGTACTCCGGTTTCCTTCCACAGTCCAAAACCATGCAGTCAGGCCAATTGGACATGCTAAATTGCCCCTAGGTGTGAATGTGTGTGTCCGTCTGTCTGTCTGTCTGCCCTGCGATGGACTGGTGACCTGTCCAGGGTGTATCCTGCCTTCCGCCCAATGACAGCTGGGATAGGCTCCAGCACCCCACTGCGACCCAGAAGGATAAGCGGTTTAGATGATGGATGGATGGCTATTATTATGCACTTATTATTTACTACTCATTACCTTTTTTCAATCATTTATCTTGTTCCCACTTTGTCACTGTTTCTATGATTGAGGTCTGGCTTAAATGCTTGCGCAACATCTAAAACATCACTGGCTAAAGATTCCTGCATTAAACATTACTTTGTTTATTGCTGACTTGAGCAACTGGCATGCTTGTGATTTATTGACTGTAAATTTTACAGATTTCACATGTTAAAGCATCATACTTGGTAAATTTGTTTTAGGATGCTTTAACTGGACAGTGTTAGCTGCCTTAGTATGGCATTAATATCATAACACTGTACCTCACTGAAATGTTTGTGTGTTTAGTTTCCTTTCTGCATCGCTGTCATGCTGCTGTGAAAGGCCATCTCTGCTTTTACGTATCATGCGCTGCACCGTGCTTTGACCTTTGTAGGCCTCGCTTTCTTCAGTTCATCTCCCTTCGCCACCGCCATCGTTCAAAGTCCTGTCTGTGCCACAAACCATTCCTTCTTACAATGCAACAAAAGTACAGACGCCATATTGCTCCCTACTGATGTGTGTTCAGAGGAGAGGTCTTCAAATCCGGATGTAAAATCCAATTTCCAGTCCTGGATTTGAAGGTCTGGATGTGAAGACTTTGGGGGCCGGATTCTCAAAGCATTTAGGTCAGTCATAACCCACTAGCATGCATCTTCAGAGCTTCAGTCATAACCAGCTGCCCCAGTGATTCTCAAAGCATTCTAGCCATCATTTTCTGACATCATTAGTCTTATCTGTAGACCACCTCAGACTCTTAGAGGGATAAAACCAGGAAATATTTGTAATCTTTGGTAGCACTTTATGTGAATGGTCCACTGTAGATGGTTTGTGGATTCTCAGTATATCTTTGTCACATCTGGCTCTGGTGAGGATAGTGTAGACTGACACAAGGCTGCAGGTATCCAAGGAATATGGGCAGACCAAAATAGCACATTCAGTACAAGAGTGTTTATTGGTGCAGCGAAGAAAGATGCAAAAAGTGCATAGTAAATAGAAAAATAAATGAAGAAATTAAGTTATTTGCAAAGCATATATAGTTTTTTGAGGATTTCTTCAAACCTCCTAGTCTTTAACAAAACATCATTCTCACAATATCACCCTTTCTCCCCTCTTGAGCAATGAGAGGCTAACCCCTTTCATAGTCTTCCCCCTATGGTTAACAAGCATAAACCACTCAAGAGAAAAAGCGGGGAGGACAAACATCACAACCACAGCCTTTTAATATATATCTTCCATATATACACAACAAATAAAAGGCATCAATCAGGTCACAAACATTAAACCACATGCAGAAAACATCGATTGTCAAAGAAAAGAAAAGAAAAGAAACATGGACCAATCCACATGGTATGGCCGGGCATGCCCCAACTAGCCCTAGGACAGGGGTCGGCAACATGCGGCTCCGGAGCCTCATGCGGCTCTTTTACTGTACTGTTGCGGCTCCACAGCAGAATTAGATTTTTAGGTAAAATAAAATAATCCTGCTTTGCAGTAAAATAAAGCTCTCGTTCTAAAGATACACAGTTTTAACAGTAAATGGTGTTAAACGCTGGAGTTAATGTACTCTATAACTGCTAATTCACCCTTTAACGCTGAAGGTTGGTGCGCAGACTGTTGGTTACCATAGCAAC